AGACCTGAGCGGTCGTGGCCGCCTCCCTGCGCCAGAAGCCTTGTGTTTAAGGGTTTCACCCAGCCAGCCCCGGCTGGCGACTGTGCTAGCGAGTCTTATTAGATCGCCGGACACCTGCGAGTCCTCATCAGAAACAGCATGGCAGGTGATTTACGAGATAATCAGGTAGTTTTTGGTTTTGTTTTTAAAGTTGACTCAGAGTGAACCAAGCAGTGAGTCGTGTTGCGGCTTCTCTCCCTCAGCTTTCTCTAAAGTCACCTTGATCTGGTCCACCTTGATCTGACTCAAAGAAGTCAGAGAAATAAATTTTGTAAATTACCGAATTGCACAGAATACTGTTGTGTTGTGCTAGGTCTAGTAAGTGACTTATTAACATGGCATGGGGGGGCCCTGTGGAAAAGTGGTTTAGCTCAGCACATTTGCTCGAGTATGTTGTGCTATGTCAGACTGTTCCTGTTAATTTGCAACACAATTCATCTGATTTTAAAAAGGAGTTTTAGTCACTGAATAAAACCTCCCCAAAGAAGCTGTGATCTCCAATTGTTTTGTATTACTATCTCATATACCTTGTTTTCAAATTTGCATATATTTGGAAAAGTCTAGTGGCTTTTGATGGAATTTACATATATAAATAGGGGTTTTTGAGTTTCAAAGTTCATGAGAAAAATAAGGGATTACCATTTTAAAAAATGGTTATATTGCCTATAGTATTTATATACCAAGTAATTTTGTTCTAGTACATATTACAGTCAAATGAATGAATTTTAAATACTTTAGATTGTGGAAAATACAAAATGAGCTGTATCCTAACCTCGTTATGTAAATTTTAAGAGAGTTTCAAATGTAGTACTGCATGGGAGCTACCCCCTTTCACCTTCCCATGACCTGTGAAGAGGCCATATATGCTTTGGTAACCAGGTTTTACAGACAAGGACACTGAAAGGCTGAGGTTTTGTCACTTACTCAAGGTCACACTTTTTTTTTTTTTTGAGACAGAGTCTCACTCTGTTGCCCCGGTTAGAGTGCCGTGGCGTCAGCCTCGATCACAGCAACCTCCAACTCCTGGGCTCAAGCGATCCTCCTGCCTCAGCCTCCCGAGTAGCTGGGACTACAGGCATGCACCACCATGCCTGGCTAATTTTTTCTATATATTTTTAGTTGGCCAATTAATTTTTTGTATTTTTAGTAGAGATGGGGTCTTGCGCTTGCTCAGGCTGGTTTTGAACTCCTGACCTTGAGTGATCCTCCTGACTGGCTTCCCAGAGTGCTAGGATTACAGGCGTGAGCCACCATGCCTGGCCCTACTCAAGGTCACACTTAAGGCTTCAAAGTAGCATCAGAATCTAAGGATTTTTACTCTTAGAGAAGGGTTCTCTTTATAAAATCATATTGGCTCTGCACTTTAAAAAAGAAAAAAAAAGTACACATTTTGTAGCTCTTCTGGTTGATGAGTGTCACTTTACCTATACCAGTGTACATCCAGGTCCCAGTAACTGAGTTGCACCTGCTGTGATTAACATTTGTTGAGAGGACCACTGAGATGTCACAGCACAGTGACATCTCCAGCACTGTCCTGTTTCCTGTCCAAGGATATTGTAATCCGGGGAGACAGGTCTTGCCTACAATCAGGAGAAAAGGTGATAACAAGATCGAACATTCTCCTCTCTCCTGCATCCTCTGGACTATCTACACTCTCTAGCGTCAGGCAGAGAGTGAGTAAAGTATTTGAAACCCACCCAGAGGCCTTGCTCCGGAAAGCGAAACTCCACTACCGCTCTACATCACCTGCCATGCAGGGAGGCGCCTCGCGCTCATATTCTCAGATTTCTTAGCTGGCTGATTCCTGGGGCCTGACTAAGCGAACACTCTCGCAGGGAGTGACTTGTCCTTTTCCTCTGCTTCTGGAAGAAATCAGAAGCCAGAGGAACTCAGAAGAAAAAAGCAGCTGACTAAACATGGGGTTGGAGCTTGGTGGATCTTACTATAAAACCTCAGTCCTGTGGGAAAGTGTACAGGTTTTCTTTATCTTCTAATGTATTTGCAATTAACTACGATCTGCAAGGTGTTCAGAAACTCCCATTGACTACACTGTTAATGTCACAAAACTAATAATTATTCTGTTACAGAATAAATGCTTAGCTGAGGCTTTTCTTGGGTAACTTTTTTATTTTGAAATAATGTCAAATTTATAGAAAAGTTACAAAAACACTACGAGGAGCTGCTAGAAATAGTTTACCCAGATTCACCAATTGTTTGCATTTTGTCCCAATTCCCCACCTTTTAGAGAGTACGTTGAGACATCGTTTCCTTTTATTCTTTAACAACAGAGTATGCTTTTTCTTTTTTCTTTTTTGAGACAGAGTCTCACTCTGTTGCCCCGGCTAGAGTGCTGTGGCATCAGCCTAGCTCACAGCAACCTCAAACTCCTGGGCTCAGGCGATCCTCCTGCCTCAGCCTCCCGAGTAGCTGGGAATACAGGCACATGCCACCATGCCTGGCTAATTTTTTCTATATATTTTTAGATGGCAAATTAATTTCTTTCTATTTTAAGTAGAGATGGGGTCTCACTCTTGTTCAGGCTGGTTTTGAACTCCTGACCTTGAGCGATCCGCCTGCCTCGGCCTCCCAGAGTACTAGGAGTACAGGCTTCAGCCACCGCGCCTGGCCCAGAGTATACTTCTTAAGTATAGATAGATGCATTCCCTAACATAACCACAGTACAATACAATCAGGACATTTAACATTGATACAATGAGCTAAATCACGACCCATAATCAAATTTCATCAATTAACCCAATAATGTCTTTTTAAGCAATTTTTTCCTAGTCTCTTATCCAGTCTGAAACTGTGATTTGCATTTAGTGTCGCGCAGCCTTTTAGAGCCCTTTGCACTGAGTCCTTAGCCCTCCCTTGCCTTTCTCAATGTTGATATTTTTGAAACGCACAGGGCAGTTATTTTAAGAATGTCCCTCAAGTTTAGTTTGTCTGACTTTCCTCATGATTTAAAAATGCAAGTCAAGCGTTTTTGTTGGGAATGTCACAGAAGTGCTGCTGTGTCCCCTGAAGGCATCAGAAGACTCATCTTGTTGGCTTCTGTGATTATTAGTGGCGCTGCCTTGGATCGCTCGCTTAAGGTGGGGCCCGGCAAGTTTCCCCATTGTGAAATTACAGTTATTCTCTTTGTAAGTAATTTTCCGGGAGATTCTTTGAAACTATGCTAATATCCCTTCCTCATCAAAGTTTCACCTACTTGTTTTTGCATCCATGGATGATTTCCTAAATCCATGTTTCCTTAAACAATTATTAGTAGGCAATCTACTATTAGGAAGAGCTTTCCCTTCACCTCCATTTATTTCTTCCTTTTAAAAATCAGAGTAAAGATTCATGGATTTTTTATTTTATTCCATGGGTTATAATTCCATTATTTATTTTGATGTTCCAATACCTCCAGATGTGGCCGATCTAGTCAAATCCTTGACTATATGAAATTCCTGGACCAACATAAAATGCAGACTCTTCGCATGGCCTGGGATATTTTCCTGATCTGGCCTCTGCTGACCTCCATCAAACTTGTCTTTTGGCCCAGTGGCTCCTGTTTCACTGGGTTTCAGCTACTCGGGACACCTTTCAGGTCCTCAGCCACATCGAGTTCTTTCCCCTTACGCCCTTTGCGCCTAACTGTTTGCTCTGCTCAAACACACTTTCCTTAATCTTCACTTGTCTGACTTTTTCTCAGGATTCAGATCTCAGCAAACCATCATCTATTCCAAGAGAGCATCTCTTTCTACTCTGCCTAAAGGTGCTCACCACTTTCCTGGCCAGTCATCCTCTGCCACTTCCAGTGTTTTGTTTTCTGTATAGCTCTCATCACTCTCCTAAACTATGTGTTTATTTGTGTGTTTATTGTCTAACACCTGCAAGAAATCTGGGACCTTAGCTATACAGTCTTTGTCGTTCCCTTAGCACCTACAATGATGGCTGCAAATGTGTCCATGTGTGCTTAAGTATTTGCATGTATGCACGTGCGTGTGTGTGTGTGTGTGTGTGTGTGTGGTCTATGTAAGGAGGGGATGGGCTCAATGAATATTCACTGGATGAATATACGATCTAATAATTTAGCTTGACATTCTTTATGCTATGCCTTCCTTAGTCCCGGAGAATCCCGACAGACAAAATATGTTCATTATTAATGAATATAAATCAAGATTTCTTTACTTTTCCTTTCTTTTATACTTTTTACTTTGCTTAGTTGTCTAAACAAAGAAACAACAATGCTGTTAGTATAATATGCTTACATGTGAAAATGTGTATGTTTGTTAATATTTTTTGCACCATTACTCAGAAAAAATATTTTCAGTTTGAAATTATGGAAATACTAAACATGAACGTTTTTGTTTACACGAGCGGATGCCTCGTTAGAGCCATGAAAGAATGTTTCTGTCTCTTTCCAGAAGTGGGCTTTAAACTAGGCCAAAGGTGGCTTCACCTGGGGCTTGCCCAATGCCGCCCCCGCGGGGAATCGAAACGGGCTTGTCCCTGGTGTAGCACAAATAGGAAGGACTGTGCCATTAGGGAAGGGAATTGGGGACTCTGGCGTCTACTCCCCTCTGTGACAGGGCGCAGCTGTTCACCCCTCACAGGACCGTTGGAAACAAGCTTTTGGGTTTGGCTTTGTGTTTACTTGTTGCTCAAGGGCTCTGGGGTGGACAGAGTGATAGCTCATAATTGGATTTAGTTTTGCTCAGCCACAGATTTCTAGTTAATGGCACCAAAATATCTAAATATTTACATAAAATAGCCTAAGCGGTCTGTCTCAGGATATATCATTTCTTTATTAACCTAAAACTTTCAGGAAAGACTTTGACAACTATTTGAAATGTTGAGCTGCATATTAAGAAATGTGATAGGAATAATTGCATAGTTGATTTTGTTCTAGGAATAGAAACATAGGGGCTGTGGGAAGAGGCAGTTTGTATTTTGTTTCTGTGTTTGCCTTTAAGGAGCATAGCGGCTACTGATCATGAACCGACAGATGCCCGGAAATCCTTCCCCTGCTTCGATGAGCCCAACAAGAAGGCAACTTATACAATATCTATCGTCCACCCCAAAGAATATGCAGCACTTTCAAATATGCCGGTGGCGGTGAGTGTGTTTAAATGTTTTGTTTATGCAGACAGTCTGTTTCAAATATCAGTAAATTGCCTGATTTACTATGGACAAGAACCCACTGAACACTAAAACTAAATGTGCACTCATAGTTTAGTTGGAAGATTGAAATACACTTTGGCAATTTCTTTTTCTTTGAGTCTTAGAAGTCTTTTTTTTTTGAGACAGAGTCTCACTTTATTGCCCAGGCTAGAGTGAGTGCCGTGGCGTCAGCCTAGCTCACAGCAACCCCAAACTCCTGGGCTCAAGCGATCCTCCTGCCTCAGCCTCCCGAGTAGCTGGGACTACAGGCATTCGCCACCATGCCCGGCTAATTTTTTGTCTATATATATTAGTTGGCCAATTAATTTCTTTCTATTTATAGTAGAGACGGGGTCTCGCTCTTGCTCAGGCTGGTTTCGAACTCCTGACCTCGAGCAATCCGCCCGCCTCGGCCTCCCAGAGAGCTAGGATTACAGGCGTGAGCCACCACGCCCGGCCGAGTCTTAGAAGTCTTTAAACTAAGATATCACAGGCCAATAAAAAAGCCCCTCTGGAGTTTGTAAGCAAGAGAGAATACCAGGTACATACGTCAGCTTCCGCTCTGCGTAGCTGACAGCTCCTGCGTCGTGACGAGTCACAGTAATAGCAAACTAATGGAATTACAGACTTTAAAATATTTGAGGGCCTACTCACTATTTAGTTTTCAGTTGATAGAGCTACTGTAAAAAATGATCACAAATGCTGGGTTGTAGAAGCCAACTCCAGGGAACACTAAGTAGATTTTCTGGTCAATGGGAAGTTGACCAGAAGTTAAATGTTTAAAAAAACCAAACAAAACAGGTCACAATAATTTCTGCCTGTATAATTATTAATTAACTTAAGACTCTTTCCTCTGTCACTGTTCCTCATCTCTATAGTGGGTAATATAGTTACCTAGAGTGTCCTTAGCTCAAAGTTGAGGTTTCTCATAATCTCAGCATTTGACCTATAAAAAGGGCAGGCTCGACTTTAGGTATAATTGTCATCTCCCTAGTACCAGAAGGGTACTTAGCCCTAAATTACACCTCCCATCTTTCGGATCCACTCTCCGAAGTATCATCATCGAAATGAATCCCTTTGAGGATAAATATTTCTTGAAAAGGCAAAAACAAAATAAAGCAGGCAAAAGCTTGAGAGTATTAAAATGTACTGTCATCAGCCATCCATGCGCCCATGTGAACTAGTTTTTCAACTTGATTTCTTCTGGTGTCAGGCATCCGAGAAATTAAGCTTTGATTGGAGAAGAAAGAGGAAGGGATAATTTGAAGCGGGACACGCCGATCAGAAGACCGGTCAGGGTAGAGTGCTGTCAGCATGCCTTGGCACAGACGGGGCAGTGAAGGCCGCAGGAGAGAGAAGGCAAACCTGCCGCCCTCCGCTTAACATCCCCCCTTGTGACCTTCTCGCTGGGCAGAGTTATGCTTTACCTTCCACGAGACCCAGATAGTTGTCCTGGAAGGAGAATACCCGGGTCCTTGGAGACCAGACGGGTACTGCTGGGTCGGCCCTGCCGAGGGACTCGCGTGGCTGAGCCCAGCGCTTCCACGCGAGCACTCGCCCACACAGGCCTGCAAAGCCGGCCATGCGCGACTCCACTCCTCGCCCGGGCCCCTGTGAAAGCTTCCCACGCAGAGAGTGACTTAGAGTGGCTGCAGGGAATGCGGAAATGTTTACCTGCGCAGGTGTTCCTGGTGAAGCCTGGGGACGGGTGACTGACAGCGAGGACAGCAGGGCTGGCATAGACCAAAACCCAGTTGGCTCCGTAGCTGCGTCCTGCAGTGCAACCCTTCTCTCTATTCATGGTGACCAAGGCACGACTTTAGTGACCAGACCTTTGGTCTTTAAAAGAGGCCAACCTTCTGCATGCCTGACTGCTCGCCCGCACATCTCAAATCAGCAAATACCTCCTCAGTTCTTCCTCAGTGCAGACGCGGAGCACGAGCTCATTCTTCATGAAGGGATTCCAGCACCCTCAAATATTAGGGTCACATTGTGTGTTTAGTGTGGAAAGATAAACTTCTTTTGTGTGTGTGGGGGGAGGGGGGGACAGAGTCTCACTCTGTTGGCCAGGCTAGAGTGCCGTGGCATCAGCCTAGCTCACAGCAACCTCAAACTCCTGGGCTCAAGCGATCCTCCTGCCTCAGCCTCCCGAGTAGCTGGGACTACGGGCATGCGCCACCACGCCCGGCTCATTTTTTCTATATATTTTTAGTTGGCCAATGAATTTTTTGTATTTTTAGTAGAGACGGGGGTCTTGTTCTTGCTCAGGCTGGTTTTGAACTTCTGACCTTGAAAGATCCTCCTACCTTGGCCTTCCAGAGTGCTAGGATTATTGCAGGTGTGAGCCACCATGCTCCGGGCAACTGCTTGTTTGTCTTGTAAAGGATTGATAAATAAAAGATTATCTTTTGTTCTCAATAGAAAAGAGAGTCAGTGGATGATAAATGGGATCGAACAACTTTTGAGAAGTCTGTTCCCATGAGCACCTACCTGGTGTGCTTTGCTGTCCATCGGTTCCAGGCTGTAACGAGAATGTCGAATAGTGGAAAACCCGTGAGTCTCATTACATTTTGGAAAGTTACCATCTATACATTTGCAATTAATTTACTACTCTTCTTAGAACAGTTTTTTATTTTTTCCCATACAACATGCCAAAAAAAGACCATTAGTCACCAGGGTCTGTGATCTTGCTAATACATCAAACAATATAGAAAAATGTAAGCTGAAAGGACACAGGTGAAAAAATGAGCAAACACGACAGACATAGATGTGCATGGCCTTGAATTATTTTAAGGGGAAAATTCGCTATAAATCAGAAGCTAGTTCTTAAATACACGAGTAGGAATATATTACATGTGGGTATGCCTAATTTGATAAAATGGTGAATGCATGGGGGGGGGTGGTCCCAGGTAGAAACCAGAAGGGAGGAAGAAACCAGAGGTAGAGGAATATCCTCCGAGTAACTCAGCACTGAGGATTTTGTGGTGCCATTCCTATATAAAAAATCCAGCTGGCAAGTGGTAGAGATCCAAATTGCAAATTCTTTCTAAATACTGCACCTTGCTAAGCATTTTGAAATGTGATTTTCTGAAAATATCTTTACCTCTTCACCAGTCATTGGAGGGGCAGGGATAGATTCTTCTATGTCCTGTGTAAGTAGCTTCTGGAAAAATTTACCTTCATTTTGGTATAGTACGGGTCGATGCTGAGACATCCTAAACCCGGGTTTGCAGTGCGCTGCCCCTGCTGTGTCCACGCTACAGTAGGAGGGGGGCGTCCCAAGACCTCGGCAAAGGGGCTGTGGTCACAATGACTCATCAGATTTTTCCTTCCCTCGCCACATAGGGTGCTTTGTGTGACCTTTAGTCATAGCAAAGGGCACTACCAGTGGGTAACAGATAATACCAGATATGAAAAAGAAACAGTATCAGAACGACAAAGTTGTTTCTTCCAGGTTGTGCTGCGTGTAGTTGACGACACGCCTCTTGCCCAGCACAGAGGAGAGGACATTAGTCAAGCTTGCTTTTTCTTTCGGTCTCAAAGAAGGCATGGAGTTTTTGTCTGAAGGTGCTTTCTTCGTCACTCAAAATTCAACTGCATGGCTGTCTGTCATCACGTGCAAGTGTTTTCCACAGCAATTTTTAAAAATCATTGTTCCATGCTGGGAAAGTTTTTCTATTTTGGGTAGAAACACCAGGAGAAACAGAGAGGCTAAACAATTCTACTAATGTTGATATAGTTTCATAAATAAGATCAATGCAACCAACCAATCAGCAGAGGACATTATAGTTGGAATTATTTTCTATAATAACAGGGACGGTGAGTTTGAATTTCCAGTATGTCCTCCGAGCAAGACACTTATTTGTAAGGTAGCTACCCTAGCTGGGAGAGTCAGTAGAGCTTGTACCAGTTAGTTAGCTAGGTTCTAAGGATGGATTTTATATAAAGGATTTGGAGTGACATCATGGAAAATCTAATTTGGCAAAAGATTTCCAAATGCCCTGTATGTAAATAGATCTTCACTAATTCTTCTACGAAAGCTGAGAACATAACATTCTATCTTAAATCAGTGCAGTAGTTTCAACATTTGGGAGGGAAACAAAGATAATATTGTCATAATATATTACTTTCTGACCATCTACTTAGTAAGAGAGCAGCAGAAGCCAAATTCCCTTTTAAAACTTCTCAGAGGCCATGGAGCCAGACCAATTCTAAGAAAACAAGAAAGGAACTGAACACAGTAGGTTCCTCCCTCCACTTCCTCCACACCTTCTACAGAAGACAGGCAAGCAGAGTTTTCCCTCCAGAAAAAAACAAACAAATAAACTGTGCGGCTGTTTCCTTCAAAAGTTGGACAGAACCTTATAGGAAAAATTTAAGGCATCTAGTGTGATTGGTGGTACTCTGTAGTAAATTCTTCCTCTTTGGCATTTGGAAAGTTCCCCCTCTGGCTGTCTACACACTTATTCTAAATAAATTGAAATCTAACAGTTGGCACCCGTCCAAGTACAACATGCTCTGGGTATGATTTTCCACTTCAGAGAGAATTACAGGAAAATCAACCTACTTAAATCTCCTGAAATACAACATCAGAGGAAAACCCACACCAGCCCCATAGTCCTACATTCTTACTGCTGAACAGACATCCTAAGACAACCAGATATATGAGGAAAACAAAACATAAAAGGAAAATATCTAAGACAAGTAAAAACACAGTGAGAGTAAATAGCAATAATTGAAGAAAGAACAGAGAGTTTTTAAAAACTCACAAATAATTAAATGTGTACACACAAAGAAACTCTACACTCAGAGATTAAAGAAGATATGATCATAATAAAATAAAAAAAAAAAAGTGAGGAGGAAACAACCAGAAGTAGTAGTAAGAGTTTAAAAACATGATCTTCAAAGTACAACCTGGGTCTGACCCTCAGGAACCTGTTTCTCCCCAAACTGGAGCACAATAAGCCCATTGCCTCCGTTCCTGCCCATGGCTTTGTATTTTCATTGTATTCATACACGTGTTTATATTGTTTAAAGCCCTGATATGTCTCATGGGGTTCCCATTTTTATTTTATCTATGATTTCTGAGTGTTAGGAACGGTGGGGGCACACCAAAGTGTAAATGTACTATCCTGACACAAGTCCTCATATTACTTTTTAATTAAAAAAATTAAAATTGAAGCTAAGCAGTTGTTATGTACACCATTTTTAGTAGGAATTTCACAAATCAAAAGACTATTCTTATCTACTCTGCTTCTTACAGTTTTATTCTGGCACATTAATCTCCTGCTATTCATAATCAGATTATATGATGCAATCCAAGAATCTGTAATGCCCCGATTAAACTCTCCTGGGTGTATTTTTCCTTCTCACAAGACTTCCTTTATATTAATAAACACAGAGTCAAGGCCTGTGTTCTTCTTAATTGTTTCCTTGGAGAGAGCATAGCAGACATTAGTGGTTGAAAACCATTAATTATGTCTAAAATATCATCGTTGCTCATGAGAAAAATTAGATTGGTTTTAAAGGTATCTCGGAAGACTTTTGACTCTGTATATATTCTTTCTGGAAGATGAATTGCATTACATTTTCATTCAATCCTAAAAATAAAAAAGGAACTTGAAGAGGTATTTAGAATAGTTTGGCAACAATTGACACCAGACCCTGATGGAAGGATTTTTTTACAGCTCTATTGGCAAGAAACCTACTCCTGAGGCTTTCTTGAGGTTTAGTTGATTGGTTAAGGATTTTAAAGTAAAGGAAATTATTGAATTTTATGTCAGAAAAACAAACAAAAAAAACCCCACAAACCTTGAACTATACAAAGTAAAGAGAGATTATATGACTTTTCAGTTAGGTGAATTAACACTTGAGTTATCAAATTAAACATGTGATCCTATTGTTTTTGTAGGAGTCTTATCATAGGAAACTATATCCCCAATAAGTATGTCATTAATCTGATAATACCACTCAAAGTTTCGCATTGGGATATATTGCAATTTGTTTTTAAATCTAGAACAATGTGGATTATAAATATATACTTTTTTTTGGTGCCATGACTCAGAAAATATATTTTTAATTTTAAATTATAAGTTAAATATACATATATTATAGAAAATTTGGAAGAAAAACAGGCAGCAGGAAAAAGAAAAATTACCCATATTTATTGTATGTAAAATTATTCTAAGTTATTAGGTTTGTGATGCCTTCTGAGGTATATTTGACCTACAGTAACCTTGCCAGAATATTTTAGCTTTGCACCAGTCCGTAAGAAATCAAACTCAGGCCAAATTAAATAGCAAGAGTGATCCTGTTCCTGGGGAAACAGAAAGTTCTAATTATGCCTTTAGTTTCTCTAGGGCAATTGGCCGCTGTCTTATGTAAAGAAGACTACACAAGAAGGAACAGTTTACCCTGTTGGGGAATCATTTCAAGTCTAGTCAAATTTTCCTGATCAGAGGAAGAGATTGGGAAGAACCGTTCAGTAAGAGAAGGCTGATGGAAGCTGTTCTCCATTTAATTAGGTTTATACTACAACCATATTAATTCTAATAACTCAGCGGAAGAGGCGTATTGTGCTTCCTTGCAAAAAGCCTTACAGGAAGACCCCTGATTACTGCAGCTAGAATTATACCTGTGAATGAATTCTTCCTACTGGACTATGTCTTCTTACTGGCTTCCATCTTAGTTCACTGTTTGTTTGGATTAGAAAGATTGGTGGAGGGCAGAGAGTGTGTATGCCATGCATTGTTTTTTTTTAGATAGACTTTATTTTTTATAACAGTTTTAGATTTTATGCCATGGATTTTGATCGATGTATTTCCCTTCATGGAAATAGTGTTTTTAGACAAAAGTATCATTGTTTTAATACTCAGAGATATATTTGTATGTGAGCTCCTTTATATGTTATTTTCCTCTTTTTTCTTGCTCCCCTTAGGACTTTTTCTTTATCTGTGGCCTTTGGGAGCTTGATTATTAAATGCTTTGAGGTAGTCTTAGTTGGTTAAATCTGCTTAGTGTTCTATTACCTTCTTGTACCTGAATTTTAATATCTTCCTCTAGGTTTGGAAAATTCTCTGCCTATATATTTTATAGTTGTGGAGCAGATGTTCTGTAAATGTCTGTTAGGTCCATTGGGTCTAAAGTTCAATTAAGTCCAATGCTTCTTTATTGGTTTTCTGTGTCCATCTGTCTAGTGCTCTGAGTGGGGTGTTGAAGTTCCCCACTATTATTGCATTGTTGTCTCTTTTTTATAGATCTATATTATTATTATTATTATTGTTGTTATTTTTTTGGAGACAAAGTCTCACTCTGTTGCCCAGGCTAGAGTGAGTGCCATGGCGTCAGCCTAGCTCACAGCAACCTCAAACTCCTAGGCTCAAGCAATCGTTCTGCCTTAGCCTCCCGAGTAGCTGGGACTACAGGCATGCGGCACCATGCCCAGCTTATTTTTTTTCTTATATATTTTTAGTTGGCCAATTAATAGTTTCTTTCTATTTTTAGTAGAGACGGGGTCTTGTTCTTGCTCAGGCTGGTTTCGAACTCCTGACCTTGAGCGATCCTCCCGCCTTGGCCTCCCAGGGTGCTAGGATTACAGGCGTGAGCCACCTCGCCTGGCTGGATTATACTATCTTGGAAGGAAGCTGCTTAAAAGGAGTCCATCACACCTCCAAGAAGGTTGAGATGATCATTGAGTGAGTTGTGTTGTCTTTGAAGGTGAAGATGAATTCATCTTTTTTTATGCAAATAAGGCAAGAATGTCAGTTACCCAGTGGGTGTGAGAACAGTGAACCAGTGCTGGAAGCTGTTTCAGAATTTGTTCTTTAAATTATTAACTCTTTTCGGTGTTCTTTACTTTTAAGAAAAAATGGCTTAGCAACCTCAAACTCCTGGGCTCAAGCGATCCTGCTGCCTCAGCCTCCTGAGTAGCTGGGACTATTAGCCACCATGCCCGGCTAATTTTTTCTATGTATATGTTAGTTGGCCAATTAATTTCTTTCTATATATAGTAGAGACAGGTCTCACTCTTGCTCAGGCTGGTTTCCAACTCCTGACCTTGAGCAATCTGCCCGCCTCAACTTCCCAGAGAGCTAGGATTACAAGCGGGAGCCGCCGCACCCGGCCAAGATGTGTGCTTAAATGAATTCCCAAACTAGCAAGGCACTGAGAAAAATGAAGAGAGCAGACATCATTTCTTTTTTCTTTTTTCCTTTTTTATCTTGAGCTGCCTGGTCTGGTTAGGTAAATGGTCTTGAACTTACTAACTGATGGCATCTTTTGCTTTACTTGAGGGTTTTAAATCAGGTTTTAAGTTTAGAAGTTATATTTTATTTGAATTTCTCGCAAACTTCTAGCAAACACTAGTTGCCTGAGGCACACTTTCCTCTTTTACTCACTAAGACATGCCGAAACAGCTTTGCTGTTCTTAGGCACAAACCCTAGCGTCCAAGGACCACATCTGATTGCATAACACTATGTGTAAGTGGATCCTTGATCTCTTATTTTACAAAGTCATATATGCTTAGAACTGAGGGGAAAGTTGATACTTGGTTTGATTTATAAATTATGTTCCGGGGCACAGTGTAATACCCTGGTGACTTAGAAGACTGATGTAGCTTACCAAGATGACTGTCTCTCGGGAAAATTTGGGATCATTATATTTTAGGCTCTGGGAGAAGAATAGTTGAAATATCAGAAAAGTAATATGGAATAACTGGATAAAATAGCACAAGTGGGCAACATATATTCAAGGGCTCTTAGGTGAGAAAAAGCACATGAGTTCATTTCCTCAAAGACAAACTACAGAGAGAGAGAGAGGGAGAGAGAGAGAGAAGAGAGATGGATGAATGGATAGATACATGCATACATAGATTCATAGGTATTAAGAAGACAATGTATGTTCTAAATAGAAAAAAGTAATAACATTTTAAATGTCTGGGACTCTGTGCCAACCATTATGTCTTACATTATTTTTAGTCATTAAAATCACTCAGTGAGTTGCAGAATTTTATTGTCATTTTACACGAGTCTCAGTGGTGTGATCTATCTGAGACCACACAGCTCAGATGGGGCAGAACTGGGATTCACATCAGACTTACATGGCTCCAAAGCTGACTTTCTTGCATGTATCAGTTTTTGTGTTTTATTGAATGAAGATTAATTTTCACTGAACTTTTTGTGTTTTGTTTAATAGCTCACTATTTATGTCCAGCCAGAACAAAAGCACACAGCTGAATATGCTGCAAACATAACTAAACTTGCGTTTGATTATTTTGAAGAATACTTTGCAATGAACTATTCTCTTCCTAAATTAGGTGAGAATCATTTTTTATTCTTATTAATATAATATTGCCTTTGTTTCCACCTAAATTAACTCACTTCCTCCAATGATATCACCATTAGTTAATGGTCCTCCCTATGTTCTTTTTTCATATGCCCACAATATGTGTCTACTGCTTACTTGGTGCTGAGAGAGCCATTCCGGATTCCTTCAGGAATAATGTCTACACCCTGTTCTCATATGATACACATACAGTCTTTCATTTCCACGTGAAGATGAAAGCATTGTGCACCCCCTGCAGATCTTGATAATGACACAGCCAGGAATAGCAGCCTACACCAGCCGATTTTAAAATCAGTACCCAAACCGATAGCTTCCCTTTCCTCCCTGTCATCAATGAGTTGGAAAATAATAGAGATAAATGATGTTGTGATAGTCCCATGTGCTTCCAATCTTTCCATTGTTGCACAAGACAAATTGTAGATTCTCCAGCAGTTAAAGTGGAACACTGGTGTTCCTTCCAGAAATACTTTTTTCTAATATAAAGGGAAGTATGCTTTCTTTTTAAAACAAAAGTGTGGCCTGGCGTGGTGGCTCACGCCTGTAATCCTAGCACTCTGGGAGGCCGAGGCGGGCGGATTGCTCGAGGTCAGGAGTTCGAAACCGCCTGAGCAAGAGCGAGACCCCGTCTCTACTATAAATACAAAGAAATTCATTGGCCAACTAATATATATAGACAAAATTAGCTGGGCATGGTGGCGCATGCCTGTAGTCCCAGCTACTCGGGAGGCTGAGGCAGGAGGATTGCTTGAGCCCAGGAGTTGGGAGGTTGTTGTGAGCTAGGCTGACACCAGGACACTCATCTTAGCCTGGCGCAACAAAGCGAGACTCTGTCTCAAAATAAAATAAAATAAAATAAAATAAAAAAATAAAATAAAATAAAATAAAATAAAATAAAAGTGTGCCTATAATGACATCAGGGTGGATATGACACTTCTGTCAATAACAGAAATGCTTTATTAATAAGCTCGAGTGCTATTAGTGAAGACTTTAAAGAAAACACCCATATAGATATTTGTAAGGATGAAATGAAGGCAGTAAGAAAACAAATCAACCAACAAATAGAGCTCACGCCCATCTTTCTGTTTCTGCCCTTCACTTTAACAAGTGATCAAAGCAACTGCAGTGCTAGATTCTCTGCATGGGAACGGCTGTGGCTCTGAGCAAGTGTGTAGCTGCTATATTTTCTCTTCAATGGAAACAGTTCCATTTTTGATTGCTTAACAACTATTAGAGAAGGAGACAGACAGAAACAAAGTTTCACTGAACTCAGAATAATATTTAATAAAATATTAGGCACATGAATGTAAAGGTCATTTCTCTTTATCTCACTTGTACCACCCGGGAGAACCCGGAAAGTGGAAATCTCACATATCTATTTCTTTCTTCTCTCTTTCTTCCTTCCCCCCAACTCCTTCTTCATACTCTTTTGCGTGCATTTTCAACCTTTTCAGAATCAACTCTATCTTAGACTCCTTAGAAATGACTTCTACATTGATTATACTCTAAAAATAAAAAATAAATGTAGTGGAGTTAATTAATTATTAATATAATGACAATAATTTCCTGAGAAATGAGATTACAAAAAAGATCTTTTGCTCCAGGATTAGGTGCAAACTACACTCCACAGCATTATGAAAAATACTGACTCCTGGGGCAGAGACCTCTCCACCCTTTAAGTTATATTCTTGTAATACAATAACCAAACCTAAAAAGGAAGATATAACATGAAAAGGAGACTACTTGACCTCTATTTAAGATAAATCTCTTTTCATTCTTTTATAAAAAGCTTAAGAATCTTTTAACCAGAAATAAAGAGCCTTTTCTTATATGTTAAAGGAAAATTCAATTTATTTTCACTACTGTGCCTCAGTTAAGTTATGTGTAATAATAAAGAAATCACATTCTGATTATAGTTCATTAACCAGAGAAGCCGTATTTTGCCCACTCATCAACTGAGTGTTTTCTGTTTGGGTCGCAATAGAGAAATGATCAACACTGGTCCCTCCTGTCCAAGATTATAGCTAAGATTTCAGGCCCCAGCAAGAATAAAGAATAGATAGAAAGTCCTCATAGAATCCAATATTTTAGAACTGGAAGGGAATTTAGAGAGAATACAGTCAAGTCCATGTTTCTCTAGCTTATCTAACACATATAAATGGGTGGTGAGTGATCAGAATGCTAGGGAATCGCGGTGACCTCAAATCATATAGAATTAGAGAAAAAATATGGAGTTTTATATTCTCTAGTATTCTGTATCCTTGGGTGGAAATATGTTTCTGTGTGCTTAGAAGCTTTGAATTTCGAAGTCCTCATTGGAAACTTCATTCTCTTTTTCCTCACAACTTATCTCCCCAAACCAGATGCTATCTATGAGCTACGTGAAAATCATGGGGGAAAGCTAATAAAAATGAGTCCAGTGAAGGACAAAAGACATAAAATTGTAGAGCCTTGAAAAGAGTGTGGCCTTTAGTGTCCTTCCTAAAAAAAAAACAAACAAAAAGAGATACATCGATATTTGGAGCTAACAGGAAAAGCTCCCTGGAAATCTTGAGTGCATTAGGACTGAAATGTTGGCACAAATGATTTTTCATTCTGAAAAAACTATTTTTAGCCTTTTAAAAAACATTCATCCAAAGAACTTAATTTGTTATGAAATGCTGTGAACAAATGGAAAGAATGCATTTCTCCCTGGACTCTCTCTTTTCCCATAGATAAAATCGCCATCCCGGATTTTGGCACCGGCGCTATGGAGAACTGGGGACTCATCACTTACAGAGAAACAAACCTGCTCTACGACCCTAACGAGTCAGCCTCCTCAAACCGACAGAGGGTGGCCACTGTGGTCGCCCACGAGCTTGTGCATCAGGTATAGGGTCTTACCATCTAATCAGCTTGTTTTTTAAAGTGGCTTAAGACCACGGGAATAATTCAAATTACTTAATTATTTATGACTTAGCAAAGAAAAAATAGTCAACTCAAAAAAAACAACAAAAACCTTGCATGACAGTCTTTCTTAGTGCTAATAGACATTTAACCATAAAGAAACTTTATAATACATTGGCCGGGCGCGGTGGCTCACGCCTGTAATCCTAGCACTCTGGGAGGCCGAGGTGGGAGGATCGCTCAATTCAGGAGTTCAAAACCAGCCTGAGCAAGAGCCAACCTCTTCTACTAAAAATAGAAAGAAATTGATTGGCCAACTAAAAATAGGAAAAAAAAATTAGCTGGGCATGTGGTCTGCCTGTAGTCCCAGCTACTTGGAGGCTGGGCAGGAAGATCGCTTGAGCCCAGGAGTTTAAGTGTGCGTGAGCTAGGCTGATGCCATAGCACTCTAGTCTGGGCAACAGAGTGAGACTCTGTCTCAAAAAAAAGAAAGAAACTTTACAACACATTGGCCTTTAAGAAATACATAGGAGGCCTTCCTATAAATTTATATATTCCCAGTAATACCTAAATAAAGGCAATAAACTAGGGAAAATTTAATATAATTTAAAAATCAGGATAAAGCAGGAAATAAATATGATGCCTGCCACTTCTGTGTCACAGTGACAAAATTTACATAGACAAATAAATGTTATGAAAATTTCCAGGCCTCTCTGCCATAAGCATAAGAATATAATTATCCCTGTATTGCTCATGATTTCAGTGGTTTGGAAATACTGTGACCATGGACTGGTGGGACGACTTGTGGCTCAATGAAGGATTTGCGTCTTTCTTCGAGTTCCTTGGAGTAAACCACGCAGAAAAAGACTGGAAAATGGTGAGCCCTAAACACATAAGCTCCGAATCTCGACTTTGCCCCTGCAAAGCAGCCTGAGGCCTTTGGACTACGGCAGTGGTCCGAGGCGGGGGCCAAGTGCAGAGGCGAATTAGGAATTCCACTGGGAGAACGGTGTGGAACCAACTGGCTTCCACGGACCTGCACCTCGCTGAGACCTTTGCCCGGTCCCTAGAGGGCAACTGAGCCCCACAGTCTGGGCACACGGCTGGCAGAGCCACACAAAACACACGTCACAGCAGGAAAAACATTAAGTAGCGTTGAAAATGCTAACTGTGTGTTCAGGAAAGTATCCCTAGCGCTAACCCTTTTGAAAAATGTCAAAGTCTTGTTTTGTGAGCTACTTGCCTTAGAAAGATTGCTAAAACGCGTTGGGGCGGTGGTTAGAGCATAATCTTAGTAGTTAGACTCAAGTTCAAATCCTGGAGACATCATTTCTTAGATGCATGACAGGGGATGTAACCTTGAGCAAGTTACACAAGCTCTCTGAGTGAGTTTTCTCCTCTGTGAAGTAAGAACATTATTCTCTATGTTGTCAGCTTAAAAGCTCCCAAATGTACATACAATGACGATCAACATAACAGTGCGCCCAAGAGGCCCAGAATAGAAACTTTTGAACCTTACAAAAAAAAAAATTTTTTTTTCAGAAAAGCTGGGTATATTTGCTATTTGTATTTAGGTCATGTGAATACTCTTCCCTGATTGTATATATGGAGGAATAAATAAGCAGACGTGCGAAAGTAGAGAATTGCAAGAGGTCGTGTGCTGTGTGAAATATCGCCCTCTACTGGACAGAATACAAAACGTTAGATGCTTGCCGCTCTTGCACTCTCCCTAGCCTATTTTAAAAAGTGAAAAAGCTCATTTGCAACAATTACTTCTTCAAAAATTTTACCCAACCCAGGGTTTTCCAACCATGGAACTGCTGACATTTTGGACCAGATCACTTTTTGCTGTGGGAGGCTGTCCTGTGTCCCAGGCCTCTGTCTCTTAAATGTCAGTAACCGCTGGCCCAGTTGTGACAGCCAAAAATGTCCCCATGTATTTCCAAATGTCTCCTCGGGGTCAAAAATATCACCAGTTCAGAAACACTCGTTACTAATTTTATAATTTATTGGACATAAAACTGTATAAATGGAAAATTATTTTGTGCTTTATTTTCTCTCTTAAAGTAACCTGATGCCCTTCCTATATCAAAGTATTATAAGAAATTATAATATTTTAATATTGTCTAATATGCCAATTTCAGTGTCTCCAAAACACTAAATACCAGAAGAATTTTTTTTTTTTTCCAGAAGAATTTGATATGCACTTCTTACATGAAATTTAATCACATGGTCCAATACAATAATTCATTTCTTCATCCATTCATTCATTCTGCATTCAGCAAACACTAGAGAGGACCCCAAAATGAAAAATGCATAAAACACATTTCTTGCCGTTAAGGAGTTCCAAATTTAAGTTCTCGTGGATGGAGGGGTCCGATTAAAAAAAGATAATTTTATAAGAGAGCTTGGTCAGCACCACAATAGTGGACCCTCATTTCACAAGTGAAAAATCTGAGGGCCAGGAAGGTAATAAAACTTTCCAACGTCACACAGACAGTTGGTAGCAAAATTAAGATTACAGTTAAATTTCCTGATACCGAGAACAGGACTCTTTCTACTTATCTAAACTTCTTAGGTGTACAAAAACAAAAATCCAAGTCAAAATTATCTTGATTGGCAGTCATCACTGGACAATAGTACATTGCCTATCATATATGAAAACCATAAAATTAGAAAATGTAAGCTGAGATAGCACAGACCAATATAATTTTTAATTTTTTTTAATTAGTAGTGATTTAACAGAAGTCAAATTTCAGTATCTTATGCTTAAGAATCAAAATAATAGTAGCAGCTAATGTGTTAGGTTTTCACTCCTTGGGAGGTACTATGTATGCCAAGTGCTTAGCACTTGAATTATGAATTATGTCATTGGACTATTTCAAAAACTAGATGTCATTGTTACCTCTATTTAACAGATGAAGGGCTTGCTTAAATTTACATATCTATTATCTAAGTCTGACTATACTGCTAGGCCTGTCTACCACTGTATATGCTGAGAAAACTTAGGAGTGAAATGAGAAATGATTATTAGAACTAAAGAATAAGCTAAGGCCGGGTGTGGTGGCTCACGTCTGTAATCCTAGCTCTTTGGGAGGCTGAGGTGGGCAGATTGCTCGAGGTCAGGAGTTCAAAACCAGCCTGAGCAAGAGCGAGACCCCATCCCTACTATAAATAGAAAGAAATTAATTGGCCAACTAATATATATAGAAAAAATCAGCCGGGCATGGTGGCACATGCCTGTAATCCCAGCTACTTGGGAGGCTGAGGCAGGAGGATCGCTTGAGCCCAGGAGTTTGAGGTTGCTGTGAGCTAGGCTGATGCCACGGCACTCACTCTAGCCTGGGCAACAAAGCGAGACTCTGTCTCAAAAAAAAGAAAAAAAAAGAATAAGCAAATATTTTCTTTGATTAATTATGAATCAGACAAATTCAGATAACAAATCGGTGCAAAATAAAAATTGACCATCAATATTTGGCCAGTAGACATGCAATAAATAACATCACATAATTCTCAAAACAAATCTGTGAGGTGATGTCATTCCCATTGCATAGATATGGAAACGGGGCTTGAAAAGTTTGGCAGATAACCAAAAGTCACACAGAAGTAGCAAAACAGAACTCACAGATATGTGTGTCTTTCCCCTAGGTGACAGGGGAAGACATCAAAGCAGTTATAAATAGCAGGAGGAGTAGATAATCCATATAGATCAATGAGTGTAAAATATGATTAAGTTGAAGATGTACTGTTAAAGCAATTTGAGTCACTTATATTTATTTTCCTCCAATTTTTCTTATATGTAAACCAGTATAAAGGAATTACTATATTTCTGTCATTCTGTCATTTCAGCGTGACCAGATGTTACATGAAGATGTATTATCTGTACAAGAAGATGATTCTTTAATGTCTTCACATCCAATCATTGTCACGGTGACAACCCCTGCCGAAATCACGTCTGTTTTTGATGGAATATCCTATAGCAAGGTGGGGGATCTATGACATCGCTTTGAATATCTTCCTGTTCTGTGACTTTTCTTTTTGTAGGTGCGTAAAAATGGTTAAGGATGGTTAGACTGTGCCGACGAGCTCGGAAAACACTGCAGAACTTATTCCGAGTGCCGAATACTCAGTGGTTGGCACTTTTCAGTAGAACCCATCAATACTAGTCATTGCCACAGATTTTGAAAAATATTTTTAAAAATTTCCCTTTTCACTTTTGTTTATGACTATTTTCATTCTGATAATTGAACATTTAGACTTTAAGCATCAAATTTTAAATTGTTTTATTTGATTTTTTTTGAAAAGACAATAAATCATCCTTCTTCTTCTATGTGGTCAACAATAAATGTCATATATGTAGGAACGTTTTCTAGTGCAACTTTTTTTTTTTTTTTTGAGACAGAGTCTCACTCTGTTGCCTAGGCTAGAGTGCCGTGGCATCAGCCTAACTCACAGGAACCTCAAACTCCTGGGCTCAGGCGATCCTCCTACCTCAGCCTCCCGAGTAGCTGGGACTATGGGCATGCGCCACCATGCCCGGATAATTTTTTTCTATTTTTGGTAGAGACGTGGTCTCGCTCTTGCTCAGGCTGGTCTCGAACTCCTGAGCTCAAATGATCCTCCTGCCTTGGCCTCCCAGAGTGCCAGGATTACAGGTGTGAGCCACCTCGCCTGGTCAAATAGAACATTTTAGTGCTTACAATAAACATTTAAATCCAACTCTGCTAGAAGAAAATACTTCGATCTATTTTTGGAAAAGATGTAAAGATAACTTTGTTAGCACTTTTTGTTAGCATTTTTATCCACTAAAATTTTGTGAAAAGTTGCCGAAAATCTATAACCCAAAGTTTTATGTGACATACTCTCTCCCACAACATGTCCTATAGTTTCTCCTTCAAACATATGCATTTCTATGTATAGCATAATTTAAAATTTTACTTTAGTCATTTTCTGCCTCAGCTTCTCGTGGTTTTCCCACTACATTAGTTTTATTGAAGTAAAAGATACTATAATTATTAAAACACGTACTAGGTAAAACTGGCTTGAGTGGAAAAAACTTCTATATATTAGTATTTGAAATTTATAACATCATATTTTTGGGCTTTCTCTCTCATATTATGCTCATGGTGTCTTTTCTTTCTTTCTCAGTCTCAATGATTCTTTTAATCTTTCCTTTAAATTGAAAATTTCTAATCCACTTATAGCCTATTCTAATAACTCACATGGGAGAAGTTTAAATTTATTGAATCAGTTTTTCCTTGAGTCCTAGATATTCCATGGGTTGGTCAGGAATAAATAAATGTTTCTAAGTCTTTAGCCTTCTAATTAGATACAAAATTAATTCAGAATGCTTAATAAATTATAGTAAAAATTACTAACTCAAGAGGGAAGGCAGTTTTTCTCAGCAGCCATTTGAAAATTGATTTAAAATTGTATAAATAGTTCATTTTGGTACTAATCTTATAAAACATGGAAAGAAAGTAGAAAGCAGAGGTATTCATCAGATCCTTCAGATGAAAGAAAGCCAAATGAGATAGACCACTCTTGAAGAGAAGGATTTTATGCCTAAATTATCTATTCATATTATTTGACCAGATAATTTCTCTACTATATACTTCCCTCTGATAAATATTATTCTTATTTTAATTATAGAACTATATTTAATAAATTGCTAGAATTTTATCTTGAAACTACTTTCCTGATTCATCAAAGAACATTTCTTAAAGACTGTTTCTCTTTTATTAGGAAAGCGCCATCTGCTGGTTTATTTGGGGAAGTGCAACATCACTATTTGAGCCTCAAGTCCCTGAAATGATGGCCATTTTTACAATTTCTCTTTACCTTTTAGTTATTTAATTTAATTAATTTTTTTAGAGACAAGTTCTTGGTATGTCATCCATGCTAGAGTGCAGGGGTATGATGATAGCTCATTGGAACCTCAAACTCCTGGGCTCACGAGATCCTCCTGCCTCAGCCTCCCCAGTAGCTAGGACTACAGGCATGTACTACCATGCCTGGCTAATTGTTCTTACTCTTTTAGGAACAGGCTGGTCTCAAACTACAGGCCTCAAGCAATCCTCCCACTTCAGCCTCCCAAATCACTGAGATTCCAAGCATAAGCCATCATGCCCAGTGCCTTTTACTTTAGAAGCGTAGATAGAAGGAGTGTGCCAACTGGTATTTTTATCCTAAGATAATAGACCCATGCAATTTAGCAGAATCATCTTGAAGAAATAATGTCACAAATATGATCGTGAAATATGGTCACAATAGTGATAACTGATATTTGTTTCTTACGTATCCTGTATTAGTTTAATTTGCCATTTTTTCTGTCGTAGGGAGCTTCCATTTTGAGAATGCTTGAAGACTGGTTAACACCTGAGAAATTTCAGAAAGGATGTCAGGTATTGTTTACTATTTTTAGTGGCATTAAAAGTAAATCACACTGATCTGTGGCTGGTATATGATTAATCAAGGATAATTCCTTTTTAAATTTCCTTCCTCAGGGATAGATAATGTAGCAAAAGATGAACAGGCGATTTCACATCCAGTTGAGTACCTACATTGTATCTGTAGTCATCATTTAGCAGAAGTTTCATAGAGAATTTTCAAAAGCGTGCTCAGTTTAGTATCCTTTACATGTGTATTAGTCAGCGTGGGATGCTATAACAAAATACCATAGCCTGGGTGGTTTAAACAACGGAAATATATGTTCTCACGGTTTTGGAGGCTGGGAAGTCCAAGATCAAGGTGCTGACCAATTCCCTTTGTGGGGAGGACCCTCTTCCTGGCCTGTAGGTGGCCAACTTCTTGCTTCATCCTCCCATGGCAGAGAGAGAGAGAGAGAGAGAACACAAGCTCTCTGGTGTCTTACAAAAACACTGACCCTACCATGAGGATCTCACCCTCCTGACTTCATCTAACCTGAATACCTCCCAAAGGTTCCATTTCCAAATACCATCACATCTGGTTAGGGCTTCAACATTTGAATTTCAGGGAACACAATTCATTCCACAGCAACATGATATGATATAAAAATATAAATCTATCTATAAGGATCTTCCCTTACAGTGACGATAAGGCGTCACCCCCCTTATTATTGGATTGGAAAATGATCGATATAAATATTCTTCTTAGGATGGGTCAATGAATAAAGAGGGAGTGCTTCCTTTGGGAACAGAAATGGCAATAAACTTCCCAAAGCGTTTCACGCATCCCGCTTAAGTGGCTGCTTCGTTCCCGTTTTGTTCTTCCAGTAGACCCCACGCCAGCAGTCCCAGCCTTTTGGCGACGGCCCAGCTTCGCGGACGGGAGGGCGCCCGAGCCCGTCCCCGCAAGGCCACGACGCGCCGCCAGCGGCCGGGCAGGCGGGGCCGCAGCCCCAAGCCGGTTGTCTCGGGCTCGTTCTTCTTAAACTGTACCAAAGTAGCCACAGTGTGTCCCCGCAACGGCCCCGTGCACAGGCTGGCGCGGTCCAGCCTAGGAATGGACGGTCTTCCTCCCCTTTTCCGCCCGCCTGCGTCCCCCTCCTGCATGCCCAGGTCCCAGCGCGCCGTGCTGGCGCCGCGGCCCGGAAAGCAGACAGGTGGCAGCAGCGCCCCCTTCTGGCGCCCTCCGAGAGTGCAGCACTGCGCTGGGTGTCATTCCCCAGGACAGGGCCACCCTCCCCAGAGCGCTCACCACCACCCTGTCTCCTATGTGGCGTTTAGCCCTCTCTATACCACCCCCTAAAGAAATGGATCCCTGTCTATCTGGCACTGAAATACCTGAGTGACTATTCAAGTAAGAAATAAGACCAGGGTTTAGGAAATGTTTGCAAAGTTCATCGGTACGTTTTCCTCCTTTGTCCATTACTGAAATGTGTTGTGCATATATTAGGGGCAAAGGGAGAAGCTATGTGTTTGTGCTTATGTGTATGTGAGAACACATCAGCTTCAAACTCAAATTTTGTCATATCCTCTCTCACTGTAAGCACTTGTAACCAGGGACTCTGTCTTCTACATCTTGCTTATACTCCAGTGCATAGTCGAATGCATTACATATATCAGGTGATCCAGAAAATGTTTGTTAAATGAATTAATGAGTGAATAGACTATTATAAATAATACAGAACATGGAAATAAACAAAATTCCTTTTCAAGAATTAAGTTAAAATTCCATTTGCATAGTTTTTATTCTACATTTAATTGTAATTGATAAACAGCCTATTCTTGGTATATTCAGAGTTGATTTCAAATTAAATAATCTTTCATAGTAACTTTTTTTTTTTTTTTTTGAGACAGAGTCTGGCTTTGTTGCCCAGGCTCTTACTCTGTTGCCCGGGCTAGGGTGCCATGGCATCAGCCCAGCTCACAGCAACCTCAAACTCCTGGGCTCAAGCGATCCTCCTGCTTCAGCCTCCCGAGTAGCTGGGACTACAGGCATGCCCACCATGCCCGGCTAATTATATATTATATATATAATTATTTTTTCTTTTTTGTTTGTTCAGCTAATTCTTTATTTGTTAGTAGAGACAGA